GCATATGTCTATTAAGTTCATTTGTTCACAGGTGCGATTCAGTTCTTTTATTTCTTTGCTGATTTTCTGTCTGATTGATCTGTCCATTGGTGTCACTGGTGTGTTAAGATCTCCTGTTAGAATTGTGTTACTGTTAACTTGCTTTTTCTTTTCTGTTAGTACTTGTTTTATACAACTAGGTGCTCTGGTATTTGGTGCATATATATTTAAGATAGTTATCTCTTCCTCTTAGAGTTTTCCCCTAACCAGTATGTAGAGACCTTCTTTATCCCTTCTGATCATTATTGGCTTGAAATTCACATTGTCTGAAAACAGAATAGCCACCCCAGATTTTTTTTTGGGTTCCTGTTGCATGAAGTATTGTTTTCCATCTTTTGACTTTCAGTCTGTGGGTGTCTTTTAGGGTTAGATGGGTTTCTTGTAGACAACATATGGTTGAATTTTGTTTCTTGATCCATTCTGCCAGTCTGTTTCTTTTAATTGGTGCATTGAGACCATTTACATTAATGGTTATAACTGTTACATATTGGTTTATTGTTGACATGTTATCTTTCTGCTGTTGTATCTTTATGTTTCGGTTCTGTTTAATTGTCTGCTTTGTTTAGTGGTTTTTTCCTAAATATATGTAGGCTGTCTTTCAGTATTCTTTGCAGGGTTGGCGTGGTGATCATTTGTTTCAGGTGTTCTTTGTCATGGAAGTATCTCATTTCTCCATTGATTTGGAAGGACAGTTTTTCAGGGTACATCAGTCTAGGTTGGAAATCATTTTCCTTTAGGTTCTGAAATACTTCTCCATGCTCTTCTTGATTTTATTGTTTGTGTTGAGAAGTTTGCTGTGATTCTGATAGGTTTTCCTTTATAGGTGATCTGTCTTTTCTCTCTAATGGCTTTTTTTTTTTAACTTTTTATCGGTACCGGGGATCGAACTCACGACTGCCTGCTTGCAAGGCAGGTGCTTATGCCACTGAGCTAAATCCCCAGCCCTCTAACAGCTTTTAATATTCTATTCTTTTATTCGATTTCTGGGATGACCATTATTAGGTGTCTGAATGTATTTTTATTTTGGTTATGGCTATTTGGAGTTCTATATGTTTCACTAATCTTGATATCAGTTTCCAATCTCATGTTTGGGAAATTTTCAGCTATTACCTCTCTAAATATCCTCTTGACATCCTTTATGTTGTCCCCTTCTTTTCATTTATCCCTATCAACCTTATGTTGTTCTTCTTTGCATCATCTTGCAGGTGTTAAATTGTTATTTCCTGATTTCTTGTTATTTTTAAAAGATCTTTCCTTTCCTGTTCACTGGCTGCAATCTTGTCTTCGAGGTCTGAAATTCTATCTTCACATTCATTGAGGTGGTTTTTAGAACTTTCAATGGCGTTTTTGATTCCTGTATATCTCTTTGCATCTGCTTTGTATGTTCTGTTTGTTTCTTATATTGTTCATCCAGGGATTCTGTCTTTTTGTTTAGTTCCTACAATTTTTAAACTGTGTCTTCTTTAAATATGTTCAGCATCTCCTTCATTTCTTTTATTATTTCTTGTTTTACCTGAGAGATTATTTCTAGTTTGAGTTCCTTTAAGGCTTTCCAGAGTTGCTTCTTTATTTCAGTTACTATTATTTCAGGTATGTGGCATACATTTTCTTCTATGCACATGGCTCCTAGGCTTTCTTGGGATGGGGTGAATGTTTGAGTTTGTATTTTGGTCTTTTGTTTTGTCATTTTCCTATATTTTTGAGCTTCAAGTGTTATTCCCAGTGAGGGAGAGAGGTCAGCCAGGCTGGGATGGAATTCCCTCGAGAACCATGCTTTGTCCATGGAGGTTGGGGCTGTGCAGCTGTGGGCATCTCTGGAGCCACCCCAGGGAGCTGGTGCAGATCCAGGGCAGCACAGCTGGGTCCCTGGGTGAGCTCAGGGACTGGGAAACCACAGGCTTTGAGCTGCAGTTGCAGCTTCTGTCCCCTGGTTATGGAGAGCTCCCACACAGTGGTGCAGAGCCTCAGTTTACCTGGTGAAGCACGGGATGTCCTGCTTCTCTCCTCCATCATCAGCAGCCACGGCCTGAATTTTGAAATAATTTAAATGATTCTTGGAGAGAAGTGACTTTGCCAAAGTTCCTGCAGCTGAGATGAAATAAAACAAATTCTAAGGCTAAATATTCCCAGAATGGTGCTCTCCATAGCACGGGGAGCTGCTGGAGCTGCTCAGCTCTGCATCCTGAGACAAAACCAGCTGGACTACTCTGAGCCCCATTCTGGTGAAACCTCTACAGCCTGCCACACTGCATGCCTGCATGGAGAGTGAGGATTTGGGCTAAAATCTGAAATAGAAGGGCAGGAAAATTGACAGAGAGCTGGTTAGCGGCACCTCCCAGTCCCTGTCCCTGTTGTTCAGAGCACTTACACTCAATCTGCGGCATGTTTTGGTGAATTTTTCTAGATAATGTCCTCTTCCTGCTTTACTCTCCCTGCACACACTTCAAGGTCTCTTTACCCCATTCTCTCCCCACCCGATTTTGAGTTCCTGTCTCTAGCCGGGCTGCATCTCCATGGGGGTTGTATGCTACCTTGACTGGACCCCTGGGTTGCCCAGATTGTCACTTTAACACGGCGTGTGCCTGTGAGATACAGGAAATGACCACTGGAGTTGGGAGACCAAGATGCACACAGTGTCCTCCCAGCTAAGAATTTCCCAGTGGACTCAGAGGGAACCCCCCACTCCTGACCAACCCCAAGAAGATACCAGACTTTCCTGGCCTTTGGGTCCTCACTGAAATGTTGGCTTTTCTCGGCTGTCAAGCCCTCTAGCTGTTGGAATATTCATCAGCTCTCATGCTCCCACAGCTGGACTCAGTCTGGACCTGCACCTGAGGCCTCCTGACCCCCAAGATCTGCTCCATCCCCAGACAGATGTGGCCTCCAAGTGCCAGCTGAGGGTTCGGGGGAGGTTTGGGGGAAGAATGACAGTAATTTGGGGAAAGGACTTGGCCACACAAGACCACTGACAGCACTGTGAGATCAGCCATGCGGGAATCTGCTCTCCCTCCAGGTTCTCTTGATGTGTGCATGAAACATTACCAATCAAGCGAACAGAAGAAGGAAATACACCTGGCTCAGTGGAAACCTTGAGACAAACCTGAGCTCTCGCCTGGTCCTCAAGCCCCAGGGTCTCTACAGCCCACGTCTGACCCGACTCCTCACCTGCGCTGTGACATCTGTCCCTGAGGGATGTGTCCTCACATAGGTTGTCATCAGGGTGTCCCTGGGACCTGAAAGCTTTCCTAGGTCTGCAGAGTAGGAGTCCTTGTGGCCTCTTGATCCATGAAGTCACATGTGACCCATGTCCTTGAGTGGGGTTGTGGCTCCCGCGGCTTCAGGGGCTCACAGTCTGGAGGGGCGCCTGGTGGAGGAGGGACTCGGGGTGATGTGTGCAGCAGCGGTAAACTAGGCAACCAGAGACTTGGGGACCTCAACCATGTGGTCAGGCAGTGTGTGAGTACACAAGACATTCTGAGATCTCAGAAATTATAGAAGTCTGCTTGGTGAGAGGAGGCTTTGGAAAGGAGGATTCAGGTGGATGGAACAGGACGGGATAAGTGTGAGCCGCTTGTCAGTATTCTAAATTGCAAGGTACTTGATATGGTGGCAGCTTCCAATGGGACTAGAAAGTCCCTCTGGTTGGGTTGTAGAGGTCAGCAGGACTCAACGGCAAAGAACTTTGGGCTGGGCAAGGGGTTTGGCTCTCTCTGGTGGGCAGTGAGGCTCACAGAGCAGTGTGGGAAGAGAAAGCCCTGCTGAGATCCCTGCAGGGACTGTGTGAGGGAGAGGAAGAGGGAGAGAGAGGACCCCAGGCAAGAAGAGCTCTCTGTCCAGCCCAGCAGTGCAGTGGAGCACACGAAGATCAGGGGATGGCAGGTTCATTCCAGAAGGTGGTGCAGGCATGGATTTTATCCGAATCTCTACCCTCCTCCCTCTCTTCCTCCCTCCTACTTGTCTCTTTCCACATCATGTGATTGATTGTCTGAGTGTGGTACTGGGGATTGAACCCAGGGCTGCACACAAAGAGCTCCAGCTCTGGAGCTCTGTTGTTAAAACATTTGCTGCACACGGAGTCTGCACTCATGGCAGTGGGTGGGTGCGTGTACTTACCATGCCTTGGTTCTCCATATTCCCCTCTCCCTCCCCGCCTGCCCTCGTCTCTCTGTCTCTAATCGCCTGTCCCCGTTTTCACGGTTATTGTCGTTTCTACTTCATGCTTCTGACGCACAGGGGTCCGGTGTGAGCACCTGACACTTCTGAGATCTCTTCTCCCCCCCCCCATCCTTGGACCCTGGACCCCTCTCCATTTGCAAAAGTTCGAACCCTGTTTCCTTCTATCCATATTTTATTTTTGCTCCAACCTTTTAAATCTTTTTTTACATTTTGAGACAGAGTCTCTTTAAGTTGCCCTGGCTGGATACAGGCTCCTGGGCCCCTGCCTCAGGCACCCCCTCCCAAATCCCTGGAATTTACCTCCTGGCTTCCTGTCTTCTCTCCTTTATTAAATTATTTATTTATGTATGTATTTTTAAGTTTCTCATTAAAAGAATTCATCAGATGTTAAATTTCTCTGGATAATCTCATGTAACACTATGAGTTCTGGATCCAGCAACTGTTTTACAAGTGAGGTGTTTTCATTGTTCTTTGGGGCTGAGTACTATTCCACGGTGCACACATACAGGTCACATTTTCTTTATCTGTTCCTCTGCTGATGGGCATGTAGACTGTTTCCACAGCTCCACTGCTGTGCACAGCAGGGCTGTAATTCGACGTGTGTGTGTGTCACTGCATTGTGCAGTCCTGCAGTCTCTGGGGAACGTGTGTGGAGGGTGGCTGGGCCTGGTAGTGTCCACTCCAGGGAGACTTAGCTCTTAGGGTTCCTCTGCTGTGCTCCCCACCCCGTGGGTCTGGGGCTGAGAAGACGCCAGGTGGCTCAACGCTTTGCTAGCTCAGCATACACACAGCCGTGGGCCTGGGGGGTGCTGTACCTCTGGGTCGTGGTGGCATCTCTCTTCTGTGTGGACACCCAGTGGTCCAGCTCGGTGTAGGTCAGCTCCAGGGCCTCCTCAGCCCGCGGGTCCTGGCAGGAGGGGATGGTGAGCAAGGGGGCATGGGCCGTGGGGAGGGGCAAGGAAGAGGGGACCCCACCGGCCACTCACTGCCTCGTCAGCCTTAGGTCCGCGCTTCTGCGTGGATGCACCTGTGGGAAATGGAGGTCGGAGGTCGGGGACATGGAGGGGGGAGGCTGTACCCACCTCTCTTGGCACTGGCGCGCAGGGTTCCACCCACCTGCGTCTGGGGAGCCCATGCAGCCCTGCCCACCCGCATCCGAGCTCCCACGCCGCTTCCTGGCCGAGCGCCAACGCTGCGCGAGGATGACGAGGACCAAGATGAGTGTGAGCAGGACGAGGGGTGCCCACAGCGCGGTCAGGATCCACGGGCGTCTGCGGGCGTCTGCAGGGAGACCGAACATGGGAAGCGGCCGCATCTCCCTGCCTGCTCTCGGTCCAGAGCACAGGCCCATTTGGCTCAGATCTCATTGGGGTGGGGAGAGTCCCCAGGGCCTGGTCTCAGCCAGACCCCGCCCCACATTTGGGCTTCAGTGGCAGCTGAGGCTGCGGAGCAGAGCGGGACCTAAGTTGCAAGCTGCTCTGGGTTATTGGGACCTGGGCGCTTAATGCAGGATCGGAGAGGAAGGAGACAGCGCTGGGCCTGGGCTCCAAGCAGAGGGAAGAGGGCGCTGACACTCACCAGGGTTGAGGCTCCGGTCAGTGGGAGGAGGCATCAGGCTGCTGCTGGGCGCGGATCCTAGGGGGACAACAGCGGGCGGGGCTAAAGCTGCCGGCCTCGGCCTCCACCAGGAGGGCCAGACGCTCGCACCGTGTCCACACGAGGGTCACTGCGGTGCCCAGCGCACTGCCAGGTTCGTCCTGGCTTCCAGCCCGCCCTAACTCCTCATTCCTGCCACCTTCCCGAGCTGCTCTTTCCTGTCCTCAGAAGCCAGGCCCATTAGAGTGACGGCAGGACACTGCGGCCTCCTCTTCCTCCTCATTCCCCGGATCTGCCGCCTGTGCTACTTGTTTTTCTCCAAAGTCCGAATGATCACGGGAGGTGAATGATGTGAGTCAACTCGGCACATCAAGGCAGGCAGGAAGGGCCACTAGAGGCCCTCAAGAAGGAGGACGCCAGCTCGGCTGTGGAAAGCACACGCATGATGGGATGGGCTTCTTCAGAGCAGGGGGAATATTTTCATGGAGGTTAACGGAAATGCGTGTTTTGCCGTATTTTTAAAACTACCTCATTGTGCAGCCCTTTGAGGCTGGTCAGCAGTCAGCACCGGCTTTGTCATCCAAAGCTGAGACTTGGGGTCCCGGGCCACCCTCCCTGAGACTGTGGGTGTGGAGGTCTCTGTGGGCGGGCGGGAGGTGAGGGGCTCAGGGAGGCGCTGTGGGCGCGGGGTGGGGTGGGACTACTGTGGCCGCTGCTCTGCCCACCCAGTGCAGCCTCCCCTCCTCCTGGGTCCTCCTGACCTCCTCTGTCAGCCGCCCGGCTCTGTGGATCTCCGTGGGGGCTTCTGGGCGGAATGAGGCGGCTCTGCAGGCGTCCTGCCCGCCTTTCCACGAGGGGTTCCCCTCTCACGCTCAGCCCCTCATTGCCCTTGCTCCGTGCTTGTTCCCCCGTCCAGCAGGATGCTCCGCTGACACAGCCGTGGGACTGAGTTAAACCCACGGGAAGTGGACGGATGTGTGTCCTCACCTGTGACCGAGAGGTGGACGGGGTCACTCGGGGCTGTCCACACATGCCGGGAACCACTGAAAGAGCCATAGCAGCGGTAGGTGGCGCTGTGGGCCCCGGGACCCAGCAGGAAGTCAGCCTGGAACATGAGCTCTCCTCTCTGGGCTGCAGCCTGGTGCCTGAGGGGCCATCCCTGCCTCTCCCTGGACAGGTGGAACATATCAAAGGGGTGCTCGGAGCTGCAGGACAAGGTCACGTTTCCATCCGGTCTTGCCCCCGGGTCCAGCTGGACTGAGAGGAAAGGTTTCTTGTGCAGACCTGGGGGAGGCGAGGCAGCTGAGGTGAGGAGGCTGCTTGTCACCGCGACCTTCCCCGTGACTGGGGGTTTGCTGTCCCCACTCCTGGGACTTTACGTTCACTGTGCCTTCCTCTGGCTCTTTCTTCTTCCTCCTGTCTTTCTTCAGGCCTGCTTTCTTAATTGCACTCTCACTGCCTCTGTGTGTGTGTGTGTGTGTGTGTGTGTGTTTACATCTCTGCTGTTCAGTGGCTCTTCCTCTCTGCGGGTTCTCTGGGTTTTGTCCTTCTGTCGCATCTGAGCTTGGAGTCCATCGTGAGGACTCGAAGAGCACCCAGGACAAGGAATCTTGCTTTGCTCCCTGTGTGGAAACGCGTTAGTCTGGGAGGCTCACGGCTCAGCCACGTGGCAGGAAGAAGTGTCACGTGAACGCAGGACCCACGAAGCAGGATGCAGGAGGTGGGGATGCAGTGCGAACCCTTCACGGGACTCAGCCCAAAGGGGCCCTGAAATCCAGGTCACACGCGTGTGTGTCTGGTTCTCTTGGTCAGAAAACTAAGTGCAACAAGGTGGAAACCAGCTACTCGCTGGCCCAGAAGAGGTCACAGTGGGAAGTCGTCCTCTGCGTGTTTCTATCTGCCTGTGCGTCTCTCTCCACTCTTTATTTGCATCCCATGTCTGTGCCTGATGTTCTGACCCGTGCACTATATTTGTGTCAGTTGGTAAAACTCTCACCAAGGCTGTCTGTCTCCCAAAAGACCCCACTGTCTTCCCCCTTGTAGTCCCTAGGGCTCCAATCCTGCACCATCAGCTTTGTTGATGGAGAGGTTGTAGGAAGGGTGAGGACACTCTTACCTGTGACCACCAGGTCCAGGGGGTCACTGGGAGCTGACCACTCATAAGGGGAGTCACTGAGAGACCCATAGCATCTATAGGTCCCTGCGTAGGTGGCTGTCACAGGGTCTATGGAGAAGTTGGCCTGAGAGGTCTCATCCTGAGGATCCCCTGTAAGATTCCAGGGGTCCTGGGCTACCCCGTCTCTGTGCAGAACCAGAATGAAGATCTCAAATCTGACCTGTGACACACACTGCAGGGTCACCTTCTCCCCTGATTTCACCAGGGGACCTGGCTGGGCCAGGAGGAAGGGTTTTCTGTAGATGCCTAGAAACACAGAGATGGTGAGTTCAGTCCCCTCTTGGTCCCATGCCTGAGTACTGGACTGAGCGAGGGCATCCCCTCCCCAGCTCTCCCTGTTCTTTCCACTCTGTCTCCACATTTGTTTCTGTGTCTCTGTCACCCCTGCCTGTGTCTGCCCACATTCCCTTGTGCCTTTCTCAGTTCCTGTTTCTAGAAACAGATTCCATGCTCTGGGTCACCCTTGGTATCTGCTGCTCGAGCCTGGGCCACTGAGGCTACATCTCCAGCATCTGTCACCAGCACAGGCCATGCTTTTGTGGACAGAGTGGAATCCCTGGCAGGACACAGGGCAGGTGACATGGTCTCCCTAGCATCACCAACTTTGGTCCTGAAAAGGTCCACTGCCATGTCTGTGCCTTCTCCACACTCTAGCCTCCATGGGGCATCCCTAAGGCTGGACCACGGAGCTCCCCCATTCCCAGCCTGGTGGTAGCTGTGGCATCCAGCCCTTCCTGACTTCTGGGTCTAGTTGGCCTCTCAAGTTAGCATCCTAATTTGGACTTGTTTGGGAACCTGGGTGAGTTTGTTGCTTAGAATAGCACAAATGTGCTCCCTAACGGCTCTGTAGTCAGAAGCCTGGGGACAGGATGGGGGGCTGCACTGGCCTGGTTGGCTCCTTGCTCCTGGGAACAAGGGGAGAATCCACTTCCTTTGCTCTGCAGCTTCCAGAGGCTCCTGTATCCTTGGCTCACAGCCCCTGCGTCCCCTGCAGAGCTGCCACGGCTGGTGGGGTCTCTCAGGCTCCACTGCCCAGGCCCTCTCTCTCCAACCTCATCCTCTCTCCTGTGGGTCCTTGTGGTCACCCGAGCCCAACTAGATAAGTCAGGAAGTCTCCCACTGCAAGGGCAGCTCAGCAACTTCCTGAATTCCTCCTCCCCTTAACTGCTGCTGTTGCATGATACAAATGCACACAACTGCAGGGTTAGAAGTGGACGTCTTTTTGGAGCCATTGCTCTTCCTAGCACAGAACCCAGTTCCCTGTCCCGAATCCTCCTTTCCTAAACACCTGAGATTGTCCTGATCACTCTCCGTGGGCCCTGAAAGACACTTGCTCTGGAAAACTCTGGGACCAAGAAGGCGGGGCAAGGCACTGCATTCAGGACAGGAGCTGTCTGACCTGTAATTGTGAGGCCCAGAGGGTCGCTGGGTGCTGAGAATCTGTGAGGAGAATGGAGAAAAGAGGAACATCTGTAGGACCCTGCGTGTGCTGGTGTCACAGGCCCCAAGAGGACGTACTTCTGGAATTTCCTGTCCTCAATCTCTGGGACATGAGACCCATCTTCCTTGTAGAGTTGGAATGTGTCAAACTCTTGAGAAGAGTCACATTTGAGAACCACGTGCTCTCCTTGAGGAATGATGGAGCTGGGCTGGGCGGATAGGGTGGGCTTGTCAGGATCTCCTAGGGAAAAGGGGCACAGGCTCAGAGAGGCAGACATGAGGGGCCCCCATCTCCATGCTGTGCCTCCTCATCTCTTGCTGTCTGAGGCTCCTTTCTGTATCAGTGGTGCTGAAGCTGCAGGGAGACCCCTGCCATGCAGACACAGCCTGTCTTCCTGCAGCCAAACACGGAGCCTGAGGATTTTAAACAAGTACAGAATAATGCGCACTTAGTAGGTTTGGTTCTGCAGAGTCAGTTATCCACAACAGGCCAGCAGAGATGCGGCAGAAGGCAAGGCCCATGGGAATGAGGTGACGCCAGCCAGGGAGAGACCCCAGCGAGAGTGTGGAGCTGGAGTGCTTTGCTGTCAGGATTGCTCACCCAGAGACCTAGCTGCGCACATGCACGCGTGCACTGCTGTGAATGTCTCACGCCTCAGGCCCACAGCATGGAGCATCGCTGTGGAGAATGAGCCAGGTGAGTCTTCTGGTCACAAGCCCTGCTTCAGGCCTCTGCAGTGCTGCGTGTGCAGAGACATCCTGGCTCTGTAGTCTCTGCTTCAGGACAGGTGAGCTGGGACCATTTGTACGTGGAAACATGGGGGAGGAATATCAGGGTCAGACCATGTAATGTTGATTGGAGACTAAAGATGAGTGTGGGGCTCACAGTGGCCTGTGCAAGAATCTTGGGAATTCATCTCTACTCAGAGATGCAGGTGCTGCTCCAGGGAACACAACAGCCCAACATTGCAAGGAACCCCATGCAGACTCAAGATACTAGCACCACTCAGCCAAGCACAACCTGTAGTCTTGGCCCAGCCAGGGACAAGCACAAACCCCAGTCCGCTGCTGCACCTGACGGTGAGTGCAGCACACAACCTCGCTGGATGTGCAGCAAGATGGTGGACCTCAGATCAGGAGCAGCGGGTCTGGCAAGGAAATGTGACACCAGGTCCTTCTAGAATCCAAGGCCAGAATGAGCAGGTCCATCACCCAGGGACCAGCTGCAGGAGCCAGAAGAGGAGCTCGTGTCCTCAAACGTGCAAGTGTCAATGTGAGCTCATGGAGATTATGGAAAATGAAATTTAACAAACAAGATTAGTAAGCCTCCAGTGTTAGATCCAGAAGAAAAATAAGTCTGTGAACTGACTGAAAATTCAAAATAATATCCTTAAAGAAGGTCATGGAACCAGAAGAAAACATGATAGAAGATTAAATTTGATAATCAATTCTTAAGCAATATGGGAAATTTGTCAAGGAAATAGAAACAATAAAAGAAACTATACAGATGAGGTCCAAAATAACTGATTTGCAGAAAATTAGTAGAAGGCTTCAGAAGCTTTACTAAGATTTGATCAAACAGGAGAACCACTGAGCTCAATTATCAGAGGAGGAAGAAGTAACGAGAAGGTAACAAGAAATTACAAGATTTATGGACTAGCAGGAAGACAGTGAATGTTGTCTTCAGAATTCAAGAGGAGTTACAGAAAAGAAAGCAGTAGAAAGCTCATTTGAAGAAATCGTCTCACAATATTTTCCAAGTGTATAGAAAAATGTAAAGACACAGGTAGAGAACAGTCAAAGAGCAATAAATTTCATCCAAACAAGAGTACCAAATCATCAAAAGGTTAGAGACAAAGAAGACCATGAGCACAGTCAGAGAAGCCCAATAGCATGGGCTCAGCATGAATCACACCCCGCACCTCTGCAGAAATGTTAGAAGCCAGGAAGGAGCAGGACAATGTGTTTAGGCTGCTCAGAGGAGAAGCTGCCTGCAGGAACAGTGCACTCCACAAGTGTCCTTCAGAAATGAAAGGAAAATAAAAACTTTCTTAGAAAATCAGGTGAGCTGTCTAGGCAGAGTGTGGAGTCCTTCAAGTTGAAAGACAAGGATGTTACTGCTATGGCCCTTTCCCTAGAGGACACCGTGGGTGTCACGGGGGAGTGTTAGAGCTGATAAAGAAACTCAGTGAACTGGTGAGTCAACATCAAAGAAATAGAAACAGGGTGTTCCTTTTCTCTGCATCAGAGATGCACTAAGAAAATTTCACCAAGAAAGCCTTTCCATTTACTGCACTTTGAAAAAGGAAGACACTCAGGAAGAAACCTCACCATGGAAGGGCAACACCTGTGCAGTGAGAAGCCCCGAACATTGAAGAAAAAACTGACTACAGTGCTGGAGGATGGAGAGACCGCTCTGATTATAGATTGGCAAAATTAATGTTGTTAAAATGGCCACGCTGCTAACAGCAGCCTATAGATTCAATGCAACCCCATCAAACCACCAAGGATACTCTTCATTGGAGCTGAAATTACCCTAAAACTCATACAGAAACGAATGGACCCAGAATAGCCAGAGCAGTGTCACACCAAAAGGATAAAGTGGGAAACATCACAGCGGCTGATCTCAAATGCAGTACAAATAGTTGGTAACATAAACAGCGTGGTGCTGGCACTGGCACAAATACAGGCACATGGACCCATGGAGACACAGAACAAAAGCTATGCACCTGCAACCATCAGATTCTTGACAAACTAGTCCAAAAGTATGCACTGGAGAACAGATAGTCTCTTCAGCAAATGCAGCTGGAAAAACTGATGTCCATGTGTGGGAGATGGAAAGTAGATCTGTATCATTTACCCTTATACACATCAGCTCCCAAGAGTTAAGTAGCTAGGTATGGGATCTGAGCCCTAACGGGGCTGGAAGAAAATGGGAAATGTTTGAAATCATGGGCACAGGCAAAGACTCCTGAGTAAGATATCAATGGCACAGGAAATAATAGCAAGAATTGCCAAATAGAATTTCATTGACTGAAAAGCTACCACACAACAAAGTAAAGAATTGGCAGAGTGCAGAGACAGCCTGCACGGTGGAAGAAAGTATCTGCCAGCTACTCCGTGGACAGAGGGTTTGTATCCAGATAGCACAAAGATTTAAACACTTAGCAACAACAATGAAACCCAACAAAAAATAGCAAATGAACTGAGTAGACATGTCTCAGAAGTGCAAATAGCCAATAAATACATAAAAAGGGTTCAACATCTAAGCTGCCTTGGCAGTGAAACTCAGAACTACACTGAAGTGGAAGGAGAAAGAAAATGTAATACACGTAATACATTCATCCCCAGGAGAATGAAATCATGTCCATGGCAGGAAAATTGATGGGACAGGAGATTGTTATGGTGAATGAAATCAGCCAGTGGTAAAGTCAGACAGCACAGGTTCTCTCTTGTATGAGGAATATAGAAGGAAGTTTTCTAGGGCCCCACTGCCCCAACCATGGGTGAGCCACACGCAGGTGTTTCTGGCGTCAGTTTCCAGTCGCGGCCTTGTGCCGCCTGCCCTCCCATCACAGGGGCGCCTTCTGTTTGGGGACACACTCACCCATCAGGGCCCAGACACTCTGGAACAAGAAGAATCCTGTAGAGACAGATTCCTGATGGAGGGTGCGATCCTTGCAGAGCCCACTCTCTGCCCCTCCTTCCCTCTGTGGCCTGTGACCTCTGCAGTAGACCCTGCTTGGGGGAAGGCCAACCCGGCACCAGCACCCACCACCCCTGCAGACAGGGCTCTCTGCGGGCAGTCCCAAGCCAGTAGGCCCAGCCTGGGCTCCAGGGCCTGAGTTCCCAGGGGGTCTCACCAGGACACAGCAGGCTGAGGACGGCAGGTGACATCCTACTGCTCCTGCCCACAGGAGGCAGTGACCCAGGAGCTGCACAGGATGCCGGGAGGGGCCAGTGGCTCTGGTTCACAGGGTGACCGCAAGAGAGAAGCGGACGTGAGGGGCTCTTCCTGCTTTGCAGGTGTGCATGGCTTCTTAGATGTGATTCAGATGACAACTGTGTCTTCACACAGTGGTTACTGCAGCTGATCACTGGTGCGTCTCAGCCCTAATCCTTCCCATACAGAGTGATTGAATGTGTGTGTGTGTGTGTGTGTGTGTGTGTGTGTGTGTGTGTGTGTGATTGCATTAAAAGGTTTTGATTCATTTTGCTATTTTTTTAAATCTTAGGTTTGGCTCTTCCTCACATGTGGCCTGCAACACATCAAATAGACATTATTGGCTACTATGACTCTATGGACCTCTTCTCTGTGTTCTAGACCGGGGTGTGCTTTTATTTTTGCTCTTTTTCTCCTTTCTTCTTTTGTTCACCCAAGTTTACTCTGCAGAGCCACTTTCTTCCTCATCTCTTCACCTCTCACTTTTCAAATAAACTTTTTAAACCATTAAAATATAGATGCTACTAATATACAATATTCTTTATCATTGTGCAAATCAAAATAATTTTCCTTGACAGTAATTGTAGTATTGAGCCTAGGACAGTTTAATTATTAACATTACCATTCAACTGGTTATATATAACTGTTAGAATAATAAAATTTGTCTACTAGCAAAAGAATAGGTATGTAAATTCTGGGTCTTACAGATTCATGTGAAGTTTGTTTCTTGGTACAAGAATCCAAACATTATTCTCCTCCTCTCTCTCTGTCTTTGTCTTTCTCAATCATTCTTCCTTTCTGTCTCTGTCTGTCTGCCTGTCTCTGGGCTTTTGAGACAGGGTCTTGCTCTACAGTCTATGCTGACCTTCAAGTTGTAACAGTCCTCTTGCTTCACCTACTGAGGACTGGATCACAGGTGTGCAACACTGCACTCTGCTTCTCCCTCCTTCTCTTGGCACTCTCTTTCTCTACTCTCTCCCTTCTCTTTATCAGTTTAAATCATAAATTAATATGTAAATATCCTTAATGTAATGCTATAAGAAATCAACTTGCTAAGAACCAATTATGAGTGCCAGGAAAAATCCATGTAACATCAAGGAGAAATAAGAAAACCAAACAAGACCTCATAGATCTAGAGAAATTACTCCTAAAATTCATCTGGAACCAGAAGAGATCTAGAATAGCAAAGACAGTTCTAAGCAGCAAAGGCAAGGCAGGAGGCATCACAATCCCTGACTTCAAGTTATACTACATAGCAACAGTAGTAAAATCAACATGGTGCTGGAATCAGAACAGAGCTGAAGATCAATAGAATAGATTAGAAGATACAACCACAACTACAGACACACTCAACCACTTTATCTTTGATAAAGGGGCCAAATAGGTTCACTGGAAGAACGACAGTCTCTTTAATAAATGGTGTTGGAAAAACTGGCTCTCCATATGCTGAAAACTAAAACTAGACCCATGCCTATCACCATGTACTAAATTAAAATCTAAATGGATCAGAGATTTGAATATTAAAACAGAAACACTAAATCTATTGGAAGACAAATTGGGTAAAAATCTTGAAGACATAGGGGTAGGTAGAGAATTTATGAACAGGACTCAAACCTCACGGGAAATACTTCCCAGAATAAATAACTGTGATCCCCTCTTATTAAAAAATTTCTGCTATCAAAAGAAATCTCCAGCATCGTGAAAAGAAAACCTGCAAGCTGGGAAAAAAATCTTAGTGAACTGTCCCTCAGACAAAGGACTTCTGTCTAAAACATATAAAGAATTAAAAAAAATTAAACCCCCAAAATTCAAACATCCAATTCAAATGTGGGCATCTGAGATGAATACACAATTCTCAGATGAATACAAATGGCAAATAAATACATTAAAAAATATTCATCATCATTACTCATTAGAGAAATGCAAATTAAAACCACACTGAGATTCCATCTCACTCCTGAAAGAATGGCCAGGATCAAGAAAACCGCCAACAACAAATGCTGGAGAGGCTGTGGGGAAAGGAACTCTCTTGCACTGTTGGTGGGAGTGTAGACTGGTGCAACCATTGTAGAGGTCAGTTCGGAGATTTCTCAAAAAGCTGGGATTGGAAGTCCTATTTTTTCTAGCTATTCCACTTCTAGACATATTCCCAGAAGAACTGAAAACATAATACACAGTGATATATGTGCACTCATGTTTATAGCAGCACAATTTGTAATCGCCAGATCTTGGAAACAGCCCAAGTGTCCATCAACTGAGGAATGGACAAAAAAGTTGTGGTATTTTTATACAATGCAGTACTACTCGCTATAAAGAAGGATCACATTGAGATATTTATAAATAAGTGGGTGCAGCTTGAGCCTATACTCATAAGTGAAATATATCAAACTCACATATATAAATACTGAATAATTTCCCTAGTGTAAGAAATGGTATGAATAACATAAAAGTTTGTGGTAATCATCATTCCCCATTATGTTGTTTTGAAGTTTTATTATGTTTTCATTCATTAATTGGAATGGTTTTATTTTGGGCTGTTTGATTTTGTTGTCTGTGATGGTATGAACAGTTATTTTGAAGAAAACAAGATGTTATAATAGCTAGTACTGATTTAATATCCTCTTGTTTTGAAGCCTCATCAAGCTTTTGTTCTTCTGTCTCCATTGGTTTTATCATGTTGTATCTTACTGGATTTTATTATATGTGATAGTATAAACAAAATATTTTATAGTTAAGGAGATAATATAGAAACCGTTGTTCATTTTCTGTTAGTTGGTTCTAGAAACCCTGCAATACTTTTACCCTCTTGAATGGTTTTACACTGTCTTGTTATGTTTGATAGTATACAAAGGCACACTCAAATATTTCAAGGAAAGAGATACTATGGTGACTACTGTTATGTTGGGTTATCCTGTGGTGAAACACTATGTTGCTTAAATTGTTCTGTTCTGACCTGTGTTGTTATGTCCTCTTTCATCTTAATCTCCCCCTTTATATACATATATTTTTTAAATAAAAAAAGAAAACCAAACATGAAACCATGAGTAAAAATGATATATATACACAACTGAATTCTATCAAAACATAAAGATCAGATTGACTTATTTGCAGGAAAACGCATGGATATTGAGGTAATGGTGTTAAGTGAAATAAGCTGGATACAGAGAATTAAGCATTCCAGCTCCTCCTGTAATGGAAATCCAATTTCTACTAAAGAGTAAAAGAGGCAGATGTTTTGGAGTAGGGGAAGGAGACACAGGAGTACTTAGGGAGGAGGAGAAAAGAGGATTAAAAGGATCAATATGTGTTATATGTGTACCAGTTCCTCCAAATAAATGTAAGCATTATTTGCATATATATAAGAATAAAAAATTTCAGATATAAAGGAAAAAAGTAAACCATAATATTGTAGTTATCAGTTATTCAGATCTTATATATTCTGGCCCTGTTCCTTGTTTTTTCCCCATAGGAATGCTTCTTCACTCTTATTTGTGTGTATTATTTATACAGAAGGGTGGGTTTCATTCTCAGATTTGCACATGTGTGGTGGTTATTTCGGTCATCTCTCCCCAGTTCACCTGTCCACTTTCACCGTTCCCTGCTACCTCCTTCTCTAACCTCTCCTTTCTACTTTCATGTCACGCATCCTTCCGTCCCCTCCCTCTTTCCCCTTTTTTCCTCTCCCTCTCCCCCACTTTCCCTAGGTTCTCATGCTGCAGAATTCAGGACCAGAGAGACAACAGCAGCAGAGGAACTTTGGAAGGTATATAGATTTATTACACTAACAGGAATGTCAGTTCCAAATCAACAGCTCCATCTTGCAGTTGGAATTCACTTCCTAAGATTTTCAGAAGGAGGTACAAAATGCAGATGACATAATATTCTACAGTTGGTTACGTATGTCTTTGTTATACATTACTAGGCAGGATTTACTCTGCACAAACTACATGAGGTTACTATTATATAACATGGAGGAAGAGTCCATCATTATCTGAGACTGGACAGTTACCCTTGAAGTGATAAATCTCAGGGAAAGTAAGCAAAACACCACTGTCTGACTAAGCTACACTTAATCTCCCAGCTGGCATCCTCAGTAGTCAAGGCTCACTAAGCTTTTTCTTTTCTTTTTTTTTTTTTTAAACCATATTAAGCTGTCAGCATGCTCTCTGACCTGTTTTTTAAACATTTATTTTAAAACTCTGAAGTCTTACCATGTTCTTGCTCCTCTGTTTCCACTGGATTCAATGCAATCCCAATGAAAATACCATAAACATACCTCATGTTGTACTTTAGTGGATTATATTACATGTGAAAATATAAACAGATTTCTTATGAAAAATGAGATAATATTGTAGCCATTGTTTGTTTTCTGTTATTTGTTTCTGAAAATCCTGTAATACTCTCATTCTCTTGAATGCTTTTATACTATTTTGTTTGATACTATTGTATATGACGTTATACTCAACTATTTCAAAAAAAAAGAGATATCGTGGTAGTTACTGTTAATTACAGGTTGTCTTCTGGTGAAATACTGTTTTGCTTACATTGTTCTGATCTGCTCTGTTATGTCCTGTTTTGTCTTAACCTCTTAAAAATAAAAAAAAAACTAAAAAAGAACAAAAATGATGATACACAGAATTTCAAAATGAAATAATAGGAGGTTAACAATGGTTGATGTACTGTGTATTGCTATCTTCAAAGTAGTTGTTCAGATTGCAAGATACAGGTGTGAAAAAAAATCATACAATCAAAGGCTTGTTAAGTTTTGCAGCTCCCAAATTATGGGACAGGCTGTGCTTCTCAGTCTCATCCTCAAATAGTGTTAGAAACACACTAGTATTAGAAATAGAAGATTTAAAATTTCCATTACATTTAAAAGGCCTCTACTCTCATAGGAGGAAAAACATAAGGTATTTGATTTTCTGAGTTTGGCTCCTCTGTTTCTCTCACTGTATCAACATGATCCTCTTTGTGCTTCCCAAGTTCTGGGGGTATGCATGCTGCTGCCCCACCCCCATTACTCTGTCATGCTTTCCATCTTCTCTATGGGATTAAAACCTTCCATTTCTTAACTTAAAATATTTACAGTGTTGCATGCTTTCTGGGGTACTAGGAATTCATCCCAGGGTCTTACCCATGCTAGGCAAGTGCTGTCTACTGCGTGACATCCTCAGCTCTCTTACTAAAGAATTTTTAATTCTGAGACAGCTTCTCACTCTGCTGTTCAGGGTGCCCCCAAAGTCACGATCTTCTTGCCTCAAGCCCTCCAAGGAGCTGGGAATATAGGTGTAAGCACCATGCTCAGCCATAAATTTTATATGTAACAGAATTCAACCATGACAATATAAAATCATGAACCATTAGTATATTTAGAGTTATGCAGTATAGTTACAATTAGTCATTATTTTATAGCTTACTCGTGTCTTTGTGTGAAATAGAGTTCATGTAAAATGCACATTGCTGGATGTGAGAAATGTTGCAAAGATTCACACACATATTTATAGTACTTAACACTCTTGAGTCTTCTTTTAAACTTGAGTTTCCAACCAGTGTCACTAAACTTTGGCACAAATAATTTTATATTTATTGTGCAATAAAGTTTTCAGTAACAAAGTCTCTCAATTTTTAGCTAGCTGGGCATATTTTAATTTCATTTTTATTAGAAATTAATTCTTTCAGGCCTGTTATAGTTTGTGTCTGAATATCCCCTCAAAAGCCTCATGCAGTCATGGAGGCAGGGTTCTAGAGTTTTTAAATGACTCATGATCCAATGATGTGATTATGGGTGTGAGTATTGCACCCAAGTGCATGTGGCCTACCTACAGTATAAGGGACAGAAAGAGTGTTCTCTCTGTGCTCCTCACCTTTTGCTCCTGTTGCTTGTGTTGTTTTCTGCCACCATGAACCATTGCTCTCTGCCGTGTGACACTCTGCCTTGGAACCAGCTGATTACAGACTGAAACCTCCACAAACTGTGAGCTAAATAAACCTTTCCTTGCTTTGCACTCACACCCATAATCCCAGCATTGGACCATGAGTCATTCAAGAACTCTATTCTGTCTCAGCAATGAGAGAAAAGTAACCAAGACAGATAACATGATATTTTGATGTTTAATTATTTTGTGAATAATTATATGAGGTTCATTAACATATACCTCACACACTGTATTATTTTTGTGGTAAAAACTCGTAATATCTATACTTTTAGCAATTTTGAAAAATACAACATATTTTTATTAACTAATCACCTTGCAGTGCAATGCATCTCTGAAATACAGTCCAGTCCAAATGAAACTTGAAACTCTTCAGACAATACATCTTTTTCTCCATTTTTCCTTCCCCCCAGACTCTGTTATCTTACTCCTAGTTATGTACATATTTTAAATTTCTTTATATGCTCCATAGTTTTGATGGAATGGGGAATATTATAAATTTGTATTGTTGAACACTAAATTTTGGTGTCTTCTTTTAGCATGTGTTGTAGTCAAGGGTTGTGCAAAGAACAATTAGAATTGAGACATGTATTTTATAATATTGTTTTATGATGGTCACCCAGAGTTAACACAAGAAAATTTTGGAAATCTATCCACAACACTAAAAACAGAATATTGAGCCAAGGGCCTGAATCCCACAGCAATGTCCCACATGAGTCCAAATGAAGACCCAGAGCTCATGACAATGCCTCCCATGAGTGCAATTGGAGTCTAGAGCCCACAAGAAGGACTCCCGCCAGTTTCTTTTACGGATCCATGCTGGGAAGTCCCAAAGGTCTGCCATGGAAACTAGGAAGTCTATGCCAGGAGGATGAAGGAGCTATGCTGATAGGTTGAGGGTTCTATGCTAGAGCCATGAAATTACACTCACAACAAAGACCAGGGTTGTCCTGAAAAGCACCACAGCCATCCTCAGCGACACGGAGGCCCCGAGCTCCTCTGATGACAAGCACAGTTGGGTACATGCCAGGAAGCCAGCATGACGAGTTCATCCTAGAGACCAAGTGACACACATTTTCCCCTCTGGAGCTAGGGAAGCAATGCTTCATATGAGGACCAGAGCTTCTCCAGGAGAACCAATGGCTGAAACAGCAACTCATAGGAGAACTCACAATGCCTCAATGCATCAACGCAGCAATGCATTAATGCCTTAATGCCTTCCTTCTCCTTTTCCATCTATTTATGCTAGAAACTTTCCTTGGATGGAACATCTACGCTCAGCACCACGCTGATGTAATATAGGTGGCGCTAAGTTGACCACTAGTTTTTAATACATAACAGCACATGTTACATATTTTTGGTGGTCAGTAACGTACCTTAAAGCTCATCTTGGTTAACTAGATGTCTTCATTTTATCAGGTCACAACTGTTCCCTATTTCTTCACACTAAAGTGGTGTCTGTTAGAATTCAACATGGAATCTTCAGATATCTGTGGAGGTCTGAGGCTCCATTTTACTGTATCATTCTAGACACATCTATTGTCCTTAACTTGCTCTGTTTCTCCTCCACCTTGCTTGGAACTGTCCTATCCTGGTGTCTGGAACTTTCTTTCTGATGCAATCTGGTGAGAAAATGAAAAGGAAAATTAGACAAAGCATAAAACCATAACTTGAAATTTACAACAATCTTTTTTTTATTCTCTGCTAGCATTTTCCCTTGGAAAGATGATCATCTTACTCAGCATCATGTGAAAATCCTGGCACAGGGTGTTCAGGATTCCTGTGTGTCAACTGGCAGAATGGTGACTGAGGCCACTGGTTCTGCTGCTCTTTTCTTCCTGTTGTGTGTGACAGATACCATTGCTTAGTGTCTGCATCCATCTATCTAGGCCCTTGTTCTACAGCAGCAACACATCTGAGACTGAATAATTTATAATGAAAGTGAATGTATTTATCACAATTGTGCAGGCTGGGCTGTAGATCAAGTATGGCATCTGCTCTCTGCGTCCAAGATGGTGGCTCATGTCAGAAGATAGAGGACAAGGAGGGCCCCCTTCAGCCTCACACTCTGTATAATCTGATCTGGGAGGCTGGAGCTTTCATAGTTAATCATTTTTCTGGAGGACCCAGTTATTAATACCACCACATTGGAGAGCAACTTACAGCGTGAATTTAGGCGGACCAACTACTAAAACTGTGGCAACATTTACGCATTTTTGTGTCTAGGCCTCTTTGTGTCCAGAAAAAAAAGAGTTCTGAACTGAAGAGAACTCAGAATGGCGGCGTCATCTCCAAATTGTCCATTTTATTTTAGTTTTTACCTTTACAGTTCAAATTACTATATAGAAATCATTTGGGTTTTATATCTTCAGTTAAATTTTGAACTGAAATTACAATACTATATTAAGATTTTTACATTCCTTTGTTAGCATACCATATATATAATATATAAGGTTGAAACTTCAGGTTAATGGCAAATACAACACAGACATTTCTTAAAGTTACCTTATTATTCATGAAGTGCCTGCAATTCAGAGCTGTTCCACAAATGGCAGCTCTTCTAGGAGCCAGCACGACCACCAGGCCTGGGACTCAAGCCTGCCCTGCTAATCCCAAGACTTGAAGCTGCACTATTCTGGAAAGGCTCTGGCATTTTTGGACCCCAACAGGGGACCTCCTCCTTGATATGTGTTAAAAAGAAGTTGCATAGTTGTTTGGAATTTTGACAAACCCCCATATAGTACCTTGAAAAAGATGAAGGAGATTGGATGACAATGGATTGACCTTGTGCTTGCAATCCGGCACTTATGCCGCTGAGCTAAATCCCCAGCCTTGGGACCCTAAATTTTTAATAGAATCCATGCAGTTCAAGTGTGCATTAATCAAACTAAGAAATATTAAGCACCTACTGGTTTGAGATTGGAATCAGAGATTTGTGATCAGTTTCCTTCCACCTTGAAATTAAAGTGTCAAACCAGCTGCTAACATGTACTCCAGTTCTCCTCATGTAACACAGGTAGAATGTTCTGTCCACTGGCAATGAAGTGAAGTCACATTTCCTCCTGGGAGACAGAAATCCCACAACTGAACGTAGAGGAAGCTAGGGAAAAAATGACCCCCGTGGTTTATTACTGTCGTGATTCTGAGACTTAGGACTACTAATGTACAAGCAGTGATCAAAGCCAATTCCTGGCGACACGTGCCGGGGCTTGGTGACTAACCTCCTTCCTCCAGAAAACTTAGTATGCAAAGAATTAAAATCATCCAGCTGAACAAACTGGAAATAGCAAGGAACTAGGGGATAGTTCAAATCAATAACAACAACAACAACAACAAATTCCTGAAATTGAAATCATCGCAATTAAGAAATTGAAGTGTAACCTCGTCTTCCCCTCCCCACTCTAAATTTAAATATTCCGTGCAAAAGAGAAAACTCAGATTTCTGGATACATATGTAGCCCTTCTTTGCATTTTTAGTGTACTGCAGTTCTCTGCAATTTTATTTGCCTTCCCACCAAGTTTATTCAAAGTAATCAATGGAAATCTTCCATGTCAGCCAAAAAGATCTGTAATTCAAAATTACTCTATTCATTCTGCCTATATAGAAACATCTATTTATAATTACAATTGGTTTATGCCGGAGTAACATTTCTGGTGTTAAATATTTAAATATCATGCTCACTGCATGTCAACTCTCCATAATGGATCTGAACTTCACAGAGATTCACCACATACTTAAAATTATTAATAATTGAAAAACGTACTTGGTGGCCCCTTGACTACTCCCCAGCATGCACTGCTCTTACTGCTCGTTGCTGGAGAACTTTCTTGCATCTCATCAGCGTCAGCCTTAGGCAGCAGGTGCCTTGGCCTCGAGAGTGGAGCTTTCTCAGCATTTGTGCCTCCCGTGTGCCAGACACACCATATCCTCTACGCTTGGTTGGTCTGGAACAGAGATTTCCAGGTTAATCGTTCCCAATGTGCACATCTCTAACTGTGTGTCTAGTATCATGGGTCTTGAAGCTGCCACGGAAGAAAGCTCCCATTCAAGATTTGTCCTGAAGCCTGGGAAGGTCATCGTCTCTCCCTGAACCCTGTGAGCCTTCATCTCCTTGTGAGCGAGGGCCTTCCTAGGGGGATATTGTCCCTCCAAAACTAGTGCCAGGAGATATTAAAGAAAGGCCTCAAGGAATTAATTGTGAGCCAAGAATTCCTGGCTTATTACAAACTTAGGTGAAGGGAGGACTAGGGAACAGATCTCCTAGCACCAGGGAGGCCAGGATAAAATCTTCCTGTTGGCATCACATCTCTCACGTTTACCCCACAGTGTCAGTCTTTACACTCATGAGGCTGAGGAGCCAAGCAGATTTCTTAACCATCACACATATTTTACCTTCCAGTGATTGTATTTTATCTCTTACTTAGTATAAAATAGAGCATTCATGTGTTTGATGTAGTGGGGAAAGCTGGTCTTTCCTAAGCCTCAAGCTTCTAGGTGTTTTACAGTTTTCAAGCTCAGTGAAAGCAATTCCACACAATGTAATTCAGTTAGAAGAAGAGCCAATCAAAGAGAAGAAAGTGAGGGAAAGTATGAGCAAAGAATTGGAAATCACAGAGACTTAGATACTGCAGCTTATGAACAGCAGAGTCTGACGGTACGATTGCTTTCCCTAGCTACCAATGTGAGCAAAGATGTACTTCAGCTTGGATAATTGCCACATTTTGGGGTGTAAGGATAGAGGTGCACCGCAAACGCAGGCCACAAAGCTAGGTGAAGAAGGTCATGACTTGCTAGATTCCAAGAATTCAGATCCTGAACCGTTCAAGTGAGGAGGGAAACAAGAGAGAGTGGAGGGGAAAAGAAGGGAAAAGTAAAAAAAAAAAAAAAAAAAAAAGAAAAGAAGAAAAACATGGAAAAAAGCTTTGTAAGTAGGGAGGGGAAGAGGTCAAAGGGAGAATAGGAGATGGGGAAAAATCAAGTTATATCATGTGAAGATACAAATTCTCTATGATGAATGCAATCATTATGTGTATCTAAAAGGTACCAATAAAGTATAATGTAAAAAAGGAATACAAATCCTGGGAAGAAACCTTTCATTCATAAATAAAGAGGAATTTCCTTTGACTTGTTTTTCTTTCTTTCCTTTTCATTGATTTTTAGGGTTTGAGGGTTCCTTTTTGTTTTGAATGTTTCTTTTGTTATTTAAAGAAAAAAAGACATAAGCAGACAAAACAGAAAAAAGGGTAAAATACAGAATTTCAAAGAAAAGTATTAATATTAAGAAATTACTAATTGATAAGTTACATATTGTCCTCTTAGAAATAGTTGTTCAAGTTACAAAATCAAAGCATAAAAAGTGGACACTGAAACACTGACAGTGCAAACTATTCTGTTCATGATCTAATGGAAGCTAAGTAATATGGTCATCTATCTTACACACTTAAACATCCATATAGTTACATCCTTTAGAGCACTATTCCTTCCTTTCATTTTTACAGATCTATTATGAATTTTGGATCTTATTTCTCTTTCAGCTTTTATTATTTTTTTATATTAGAGAGACAATGAGATATTTGCAAATATGAGACATTTATTTCACTTATGAGGATAGTCTCAAGTTGCCTCCATTTACCTATAAAGACCTCAAGATCATCCTTTTCATAGTTAAGTAATATTCCATTGCATAAAAATATCACATTTTTTTCAGCCACTCTGCAGATTATGGGCATTGTGGTTGTTTCCAAGATTTAGCTATTACAAATTGTGCTGTTATGAACATGGGTGCACATATATCACTGCAACATGATATTTTCAATTTTTCTGGGAAAATACCCAGGAAGGCAATAGCTGGGTTGAATGGAACTTTTAATCTTAGTTTGTTGAGGAATCTCCATATTGATTTCCATATGTTTTGAAACTATTCTATTTCTTTTTTTGGTTTTCTCTGTTTTTCAATGTTCTTCTTACTCTTGTTTGTTAATATCTGTTCCTTTTATGTATTACTATTACTAATTTTCTCTTACTCTTCAATAAGATCCTTCAGCCTAGGAATTAGGAATTAGCCTACCAAAGGATTCAAAAAATCATTTGAAAACTACAAGACTCTATAAAAGAGGTAGAAGAGAACACAGAAAAAACAGAAAGATATTCCCTACTCCTAGGTAGGCAGAACCAATGTAATCAGCAGAACCACTTAGAAGAAAGCAGCTGGACATTTACTTAAAAAATAAATACACTGTTCTTCCCATTTTTTTTTTAACTTTTTATCGGTACCAGGGATCGAACTCACGACTGCCTGCTTGCAAGGCAGGTACTTATGCCACTGAGCTAAATCTCCAGCCCCAAATACACATAATGAAGTATTCCTAATACTTAGGTAAATATATTAATTGTATTATTATTAATAATATTACTTATATTAATTAATAATAAATGGATCCCAAGGTGGTGAGAACATTAATCAGAGGGATATTTATTAGTAGGTAGATGGGTATACCCTGGCTAATTTCTCACCAGTGCTAAAGGAACCGGCTCCACAAGACTGCAGCCACCTAGGGCTGTAACCACTGAGGTTGCCGAGGCCCCTTGGGCTGTTTTCCCCACGTGGTTCCAGGCACACTGTGTTATAAGTGAAATCCCTGAGAGGTATCTGGAGCTCCGTAACCAAACACTGGCTCCATCAGCACAGGAATTTGCTAGCATCTTTGTATTATCTAGAGTTAACTCAGCACATTGATGGCTTGTGTGAAGCCTCTCTTGTCTTGAGCGTTGCAGGAGCCTCCTCTCTCTGATGCAAAGCTCGTGGGTCCACTGGTCACACTGCTGCCCAGGACCTCGCTTCTGTCAGTCAGTCCCCAGGGAACTGCACTCAGCAATTCTGTCTCTGTCTGCCTCTTTCTTTGGTCTCTTTGCATCTTGTAGCAGGATCTCTTACAGTGAGACTGGATTTTTACACAACAAATGCTGAATTTAAAAATGAATAGGATAAATATTAAATGAAAACTGCCAATGAGAAGATCTGTTAATAATTATTGAGAGATAAAATCAACATGTCCTTTAAAAGTAGATAAAGTAACAGCATAGCTGTGACTCACTGTCCTCTACTTGGAGAAGGCAGCCCTGGGTGTCAGAATCCTGGTGCACTTCCTGCCCACCCTGCTAGGTGAGGGAGGAGAAGAGACCCTGGAGCTCTCACTGGTGCAAAGATGCAATGGGCAGGCATCCACTCTGTCTTTGTTTTAGAGGAAGCAAAAGAGCTATTTCCCAACACACCAGTTCCTACATTGGTCCCCAATAAGATGCACAATTCCTCTTTTCTTGGGAACATCTGCTGTCAGACCCCAGTTGTACACATCAGACATTTTCATGGAGTACATGGAATCCAACACCAAATAGTCAGAAGCAGCCTCCTAAGTCAGGATGCCACTTCTCCCCAGCCTCAGGGGCTGTGGTCATCTCCATGTCGTCCTAGTCTTGGGATCCCATGGGGACTGATCAGGCAAGCAACCATTTCACCAGGGCTTTGAGTGGCCTTCCTTCTGGTGGCCTTTCTTTCATAGCTGGTGCTAGTGAGTGAGGTGACCAAGGGCTGATGGAAAAGAAGGGGATTCTGGACACGATTTGGAGCCTGGGGTCTCCAGAGACAGTGCTGCTGGATGCTGAACAAGATTTTGAGGTCATGATACAATTCTAAGGACACACCACTGTCCAACACCTGGTGATGAGATGGGCTTGCATTCCAGTCAGACCCTCTCCAGTAATACTGCCCTTTGGGTCTCCTTATTGGTGACTGTTTGCTTTGGGAGTTTGGGTAATTTGGCATCCACCAGGTTTTTCCCCAGGAAATGTTCACTTGCAGTTCATAACGAATAACTGATTTGTAGCAGGACATCCTGAGTCAGTGTAAACATAACGTTCCTCCTTTAAAGTTCACTTACTAAAGTAAGAGCTTCTGACACTTGTAGGAAAAGATTTTGCTGCTCAAGATTGTGTTCATTTGCATATAAATAGCGTTGTTCACAGTACCCTTGTTTTCTAAATCCCTCTAGAATGTGGTTGTTTCTGGCAGGATTTCTTCTGCAACAATACTAGAGGCTTCTAGGGTTTCTAGAATTTTCCTTCATTCTTGTATTAATATCCATGTTTATCCAGCACTGCTTTTTCTTGGCTTTAGTAGTTGGTTCTTTTCACTTAACAGTACATCCTGGAAATCACTCCAGACAAAGGAAACTTTCTGCTCTTTTTTCAGAGGCAAAACACTCCCTGTGGAACATGAACTCAATCTATCTTGTTTACCCTTTGGTGGCATTTCAGAGTTCTTCCAGAGAGTTCTCAAGTGCAGATAGTGTTTCTGCTAATACACTTTGGGGTGTGGACTTTTTTTTTTTTTATCACTGAAGGTTCCATTTCTGTTCTCCAAATGTATATTTTGGGGCAAAAATATAAATGCACATGCTCTTTTCGTGGGTACTGACATTTCCCCCTCAGTGTGGATTTTCCACTGTTGCATTTCTACCAACAGCACCAGGACAAATCTAACTATTATAATAATTACTAAAAGCAGTAGGTAAATAATGCTCTGAATTTTATCTAAGAAGATAAGATGGCATTTTGTTCATATTTAATTTTGTATTTCTCTTTGATATAGGTAAATGTGAACACCTATTCATCAGTAAGAGTGCCCTCTTGCACTTTTTTATCAATTACAATTCATATCCTTTGTCATTCTTCTATTTTCTTTTTTTTGGTACTGGGGATTGAACTTATAACCTTAAGGTTGCCAGATAGGCACTTATGCCACTGAGCTAAGTCCCAGCCCCTCTTCTATTTTCTTAATTAAAATTGATGTGCATATGTGTTTATGGCTGGATGATAATTTTATATGTATTATATGATTATAAAATATTACCTGTAAGTATGTCTTTCCTGATTATATTCTTATTTGCACTTTGGCAATTGCATACAATTTCATAAGCAATATATCATTTCTAATTGGACATGGTCTTCTGTTTGTGTGTATAATGTGAATGAATGTCTATTTTATGTTGCCCAATTTCCAATATTTTCTTGCTACCTCATTTTCTTTTCAGTGATAGTTTCAAAGCCACTCCTCATGCCAATGTTACAGTGGAATTTTATCACATTCAAATTATTTGCATTTGCACACTTGATTTACTTAGAGTTTTATCTTAGGGACTGTGAGATATGTTTGTGGATTTAAATAACAGTACTCTAGTGAGAGCTATACTATACAATGAAAAACCTTTAGATGTATTTAAATTTAATGTTAATTGACAATAGTTAAATGCATATGGTTATGGACAACAATTAGATATGTTTTGATATATGTTTACATGATGGAAAAATGAAGTCAATATAATTAATAAATAGAAGTCTTAAGATACAAAATAATAAGGAAAGCAATACAGGTAAACCCTTCTCTCTGGCAGGATTTCTGTGGACTCTTCCAGAGCTGACAAGCTAGGGCAGGAAGCATTTTGGCCAGTGCCCTTCCATTTCCTTGGTCTTTCAGAAATACTTTCATGTCTCTTCCTGTTCTGAACCCAGCTGTATCCACCCCTGGCTATCTTATCTGTACCCTCTGCTGTTCCTGACCACACACAGAAAGGCCCAGGCAGGTCACCAACACCTGTTTCCTTCTCTACCTCACTCATTGCATTGAGAAGTGAAGTGAGCCTGGCCCACAGGGACAGGAAACACACCGTCTCTCCTATGTGTGGAAGCTGAAAACTTAGCTTCATGGAGCAGAGAGCAGAGCGGTAGTAACCAGGGGCTGCAGGACTTTGGTGAGGAAGTAGAATGATGCTGGCTGAAAGCTACAGCATTTCCACTGGATGAGATTACATTTTTGCAACCCATTGCTCATTAATGGCACTTAGAGTTATTAATAATCTACTCAATATTTCAAAATTGCTCACAAGGGAGCTTCAAAATGTTTTTACCATGAAGAAGTCATAAATATGTAAAGTGACAGACATGATAGCTGCCTAGATTTAACCATCCCCAATGTATGCAGGTATCACATTGAAACCCATAATTATATACAATTATCTGTCAGTTAAAAATCAAACAAAATTAAAAAAGGTAAAAAAAAATTGAAAACAATAAAACAGGGTAAAGGAAAGAAGCCCCCCAAAGGCCAGGATGTCTCCCACCTGATCCGTGGCTCGTGGTTGGTCTGCGACTGCCCAGTCCCCATGCACACCAGCCCCTGTGGGTGGGTCTGGGGTCTGGAATTGTGGTCAACTGCAGGGAGGGACTTCTCCTTTTTGTCTCTCTTCTGCTTTAAAGGGTGTAAATAGCTTCTAATTTCAGAACTGAAAGAGAACGGTAGGGAAAAGAGGAAGCAGGAATAGAAGAAAGTGTGAAATAAATAGCATCTGGTCGTCCAGAAGGGAAAAAAGGGGAGGTTTGCAGGAGAGCTGGATGGCACATTGCTGGGTGCTGCCAACTCCTCTGAGCCTAGTGTTGTTTTGCCTCCCTTCCTGTAGTGATAGAAGCCAAGGCATTTTACACACTAGGCTTCTTGTTCTTCCTATTTCTAGCACTTGTGTGTTAGTCCCTTTGAGTCACTGCTGACTTCATTCTGGGTCCAACTGCCCATTCTTGTCTCAGAATCCTGTGAGTATGGCCCTATGGTATCTACAAATTTCTACACCTGTTTGTGCACAAGCATCTTATCCAAAGGAGTTTCACCCTTGACTCCCAGGCATCTGATAGCTGCTGGGGTGGCACCATGCCCTGGAGAATGGACTCCCATAAAGACATTCCCAAATGGACTGCCTTTTGGGTGAGAAACTCGGATTGTGTCCCATACACAATTCATGATGCTGGTGTAGACGTCCATGTTACCCATTGCAGGGAACTCGGTCCCGCATCCTGGTGCTGATGGTGAAGGTGGAGGTGATGGTGGTCATGGTGTGCACGTGATGATGGGGATGATGGTGCTGGTGGTGGTGCTGGTTGCAATGGAGAGAAATGTGGTAGTTGTTGTATGTACTGAAGGAAAACTGTGTGAGACTTAGGTCTTTGATAATTTATTTTTTACATCTTTTAAAATGTGTATTGGTCCTACAGATTAATAGATGTCACTCTGGCAATTTCGCACATGCCCTTGAAATACTCCAGTCATTTCTACTCTCTCATCTCCCCTTTCCTCACCCCCTCCCCTAGTGTCGCAATTTCCTATTCAAGGTGCAAACATTTACTATTTATATTTGTCCTCTTGTCACTGTTTGTTACACACAGCTCACACTGTTTCCTTCCTCTTCCTAATCACAGCCTCCCCTTCAAAAATCTTTCCTCTACTTTCTGCAACTTTCATTGTGGAAGCCTATCTCTTGCTTGACTGGGTTGATTCCTAGATATTTTATTAGTTTTGAAGCTATTGACCAGGGAATTGTTTTCCTGGTTTCTTCCTGTGCTGCTTTATTAGTGGTGTAGAGTGATACTGTCCTGCATATTGGTCTCTCCTAGACCCTTGATTTCCCTTCTTTGTACAGATGCTACTTTTGGGCCCTAGCACCCTGACTCCAGAAGCTCACAGGCCTTTCCCAGTGCATCACAGACTGGCCTGGCCCAGTACCTGGGTGTGGGGAGGGTCCCAACAAGGAAGTCAGTGCCTGGGCTCGGACCTTCTCTACCCCCTACATCATTCCAAGGCTTCCCCTCATGCCTCACGCTCAGGCCAAGCCTATGCTCCCCAACTGAAGGTTCAGGGGGCTTAGGATGGCTCAGGATATGGGTGCTGGGGAGAACTCCCCTGTGGGTCCTTGCAGGTCTGTCCCAGTCTCAGCCCTGGAAGAAGAATGCCTGTGAGAGGTTTCCATCCCAATCAGCCTGAGCTGATTTTCTTCTCCTTGGAGCCTTGCAGCATTTGGGTCCCTGAGGTCCATTCCCTGCACTATGAGAGCACGGTCAGCAGGTGGATGCTCAGGGCCTGGTCCTCCGTGCAGCTCATCATGGTGGGACAGGTGTGGATCAAACTGCATCCTCTCCCAAGCCTTTCCTCCTCTGAGTAGATGGTCCCAGGGCCATCGTCATGGTAACTCAACCCTGACCAGCACAGCAGCTAGACAGTGCCTGAATGCTGTGAGTGGAGCTTCATGGGCAGCACTGGGCAGGCCTCAGTGACCAGGGGTGGAGGGAAAGGTGAAGGTGAGGTTTATGCTCACAAGGTGGGGATTGGAGAGAAAACTGTGCTACACGCAGAGGAAGTCGCCTCTGCGTATTGTTTAAGAGAACTGTTGATTTTTACGAGAATGAAAATGGGGAAAGGGGAATTAAATAAGGAAGGAGGAATGGAAAGAGAAACAAGTCCTATTATGTAAACGTACCCATTCCCCAAGGTGACCGCAAACTGTATACCCAGAAAACATGTACTCACAAAAAGAAAAACTAACTCCAAAAATGAGTAAAACTGGCTCCAAGAAAAGAGAACCGTTAACTTAAAATCATCCAAGAAAGCAAACTTTTATATGTTCCATAATAATTTAAAATATCCCAAAAAACTGAGAAAATGGCAAATTCAATCAAAACAATGTAACCTGGAGGGGGAGGAAATGGACTTACAAGAAGCGTGGAAACTGTCTGTAGAAAATCCCTGCCTCAGACACAGTCACTCTCAGAGTCCCCTGTCCTAGAGAAGCCCCTTCTACTGGTGGAGCCCGGCTGTCTCCTCCTGGCCCTTTAGGTTTATGGTAGGGATGTGGCCATGCTGGATGCTCTCATGGCCGGCATTCATCACCTCATGAAGGATGCTCTTTGGCTGAAGAATTCCCTCTCCTAAGAGCCCTCAGTGGCCTCTGTGTGCTGAAGACATGATGCCCTTTCTTCACCAAGTTCAATGCCCTTCACCTTGTCCCTCTTTCCCAGTCTCATGTTAAAAAAAAAAAAAAAAACACATGTAGGGCACTGACCAGACATATGTGTGAGGCGGATGTGCACAGATAGGGGACTTTTGGGGCCACAAGCACAAAAATTCTGAGATACATGGTTAGAGATTAAAGGAGAACCTCCAGGGCTACAAGTCCAAGCAGGATCAAGGGCACATTGCCTTAAGGAACGCAGGCTTTGATCTGGTATGGCCCATACCCCAATTTATTACTTACATTGGCCCTGAGGCCAGCCCTGGAGCAGAATAGCCTGTCCTCTCCATCTCCTACATGTCTCCCACATAGATATCCTTCTTTCATCCTTTCTTTAGGCTTCCTGGTCCTATCAATAAAAAGCCACAGAAGCTCCTTTCAGAGCTGTTGTTACGAGACTCTGTCATGCTGAGGGGTCTGGGTCAAGGCAGCCCCTGGGCCTTTGGGGAGGTTAAAGTGGATGCTGAGTCTGAGTAATCCCTCATCGCAGTCTGAACTGGGGCAATGAAGCATAAAGCAAAAATCACAATGAGATTGCCCTGTACATACGAAGTAGGCTGTCGCAGCAAGAAGGCAGAAACAATGTCAGTGTCAGGAAGAGAAGAGAGAACATCCTCACCGACATTACAGAATTTAAAAAGGTAGATATATTTTCTTAAATAAAATATGTCATCACACCCTGAACATTATGCAATAAAATAATTACATATTCTGTTACGATCTTTCATTTATTGTCATTATGTTAAGAATTACATTTCTGTTTATCACTTAAACTCTCTTACAGTAACCTTCTGATTATACCCTACTCGTCTCTTGTCCCTTTTTAGGAGGTGATTTTTCTATATTACCCTTTTGCTTACAGGATCAGGACTCCTGTGAAGTTTCTGAGTGGTTGTTGAGTAGTTGAATTTATATACATTTTCCCTGTGTATAAACCCAAGGGTCACAACTGTCTCCCTTTTAGATAATGACATCAAATTCTCTTTGTTTAGTAAACAAATTTGGGTCAAGGTACTGAAAAGCAAAAAGGGTCAGAAATTGTGCTGACCCTTTCATTTTGCTACCACGTTTGAGTCACAGTTCATTGAAGGGCTCCATGACATCGAGGTGGAAACTTTCCTAATCTTTAAATCAGGTGGAAGAGGTGCACCTGGCTGTTGCGTATTTACAGGGGCTGCTCACGCTCACCTGGGATGGAGAGCTCGGCCACTGCTTTCCCACTCTCTTTCGGTGGAGGTTACCATGGTGCTGACGCTGGCTAGGAAGGGAGTGTTTACACCACAGTCATGGGTGAATGCTGTAAACCTAGGCTTGGGAAAATGATTTCTTTCTTGCATCACTGAGGATTGAACCAGGACATTCACACTGAGCTACAGCCGCTGCCTATTTTTATTTCCTATTTTGAGACAGGGTCATTGCAAGTTGCTAAATTGTCCAGGCTGGACTTGAACCTGCAGTCTCAGCCTCCCAGAGTGCTGAGGTTATGGGGCGTGGCCTACACCTGGTTAAAAATTTGTCTTTCGAGACCTGGTTCCCCAGTGATACATCCAGCTGACACTTTAAGTAATGGGGTGTTGATTCCAAAAGATGACATTTCTCAGAAAACTTCAAGGTGGCATTCGGTGAAGAGTGAACTAAGGTCCTCAGAGGGTGCAGCAGCAGTAGCATATTATGCCTATATTTGGAAGTTTAGAATCTACTTTTTACCCATTAATCCAGATTTATTTTCAGAGCTGTGTAGACATATGCACTAGTGCATATCAAGCAATGTGCAGATGAAAATGGAATGAATTGAAATGAAATGAATAGAAGAGGCCTGGACCATGAAGCTAAAAATGCAGGGTCACAACCCAGGCCTTGGACTAGGCCCTGCTGTGTTGGGGGTGAGAAAAGAAGGGAAGGTCCGGGAATCTCAGCACCAGGAGGGAGGGAAAGAGTCACAGAAGATTGGAGTAAGTGTCTTTCACACCCCCTCCCAGCCATTTTCCCCAACCAGCAGTGAGTTTATTTCTCTCAGCTGACAGTCCCCAACTTATAACCCCAGGACCTTTCCATAACCTCCTGGATATACTGTATCAACTCCCAGTTCTCTGAGCTTCAGAAGATGCATTGTTCTCTGTCTCTTGTGTTCACCTGCTGGCTCCATCTCTGGGGCTTCTTTGGCTGTGTCGAGCCTCACATAGCAGAATCCTGAGGCCCACCAGGACCAGGACGGCCATACCCATACGCACCAGGTTCTCCACCATGTGATCGTGAGGGTGTGGGC